CGCCTCGGCGCGCGCGCACTCACACTCGCGCACACACACACACACACACACGCGCACTGCACACACAGGCACACACGCGGGGGGCGAGCTGGAGCTTGGCAGACGGTCCTCCTTCTTTTCCTCCCCAAAGAAGCTGCCCACGTTAACTCCGGCAAACTGCTGTTTCTCCGTATTGGACAACTCGCCCGAGCGCCCCCCACCTTAACTGCTTCATCCCCGGTGCCCACACCCTTGGGCCACAGTCCACACCTGCATCCCCGCCCGGGGGAAGGATGGGAGGCCGAGTCCAGGGGCGGGAGGGGGATTGAGCGTCCCCACCCCTGCCACCATCCAGGGAGGCCCGACTGCCGCCATCGCTCCCCCGGGACCCGGGAACCCTTGGTTTGGCCCCCATTTCCCTTTCCAAGGTCACACACAGAATGGACCCGATGAGGGGGAAAGGGCGTTTGGACACAGGTGTGAGTTAGAACTCTCAGAGACTCTGTGTAACCGCCCGGTGCTGACCTCCGCCAAGTCCATCCTCAGACCCTTTTTCTGTCTGCCCCGTGCCTCGAGGACAACATTATAGCTCAGTCCCCAGTCAACTTTCCAGTCTCCACCAGTCTACCTCTCCTGTGCCCGGAAGCTGACAGAACACGCGTTGCCACCAAGGTCTGTGTCGGCAGGTGAAAGAAAGAATCAAAACACCGAGACGGGTCTCAGACTGTCCAGTAGACAGAGTCAGGCGCCTGCCAGTCCCTTTCTGCTCCTCCCAGGAGTGTGCCAAAGGGGTAAGGAACAACCCACCTGGCTGGAGCAAGCTAGTCTTTCCTTACTGCACCCTCCTTTCCACCGTCCCAAGTTTCTTGCCCCCCTCTAGGTGGCAGAAAGACCGCTCACCAGCTCAGATGCCTCCGATTCCCAGGACCAAAGAAAAGGTGTATCTGAAAATTCTCACACCAATCAGCAACCGAGCAGGCGACACTGCCATAAAGCCTCTGGTCCAAACAGCTCAGCAATCACCTCTCTGCTGGCTGGGGCAGCTGCCAAGGGAATGTGGGAAATGGCCCTGCCAGCCAGACACGCAAGTTAATCAGGGTCCCCTCCTCGCCAGGCCTGCAGCCTGGGTATGGTTCCCCTGAGCCTTCATAATATTCATTGCGGGCACCAGTCCTCTGGCATTTAGCATTTGCTAGCCTGCGTTATTACTGTCTTTTCTTGAGCCAGTCTTGCTTCCCAGATTATGTTCTTGAGCCACTGGCTGTGTCCTTTGTCCTTAGTTCAGATGCGCGTAGAAGTCGTTTTCAGGGGTTTTCATGAAGAGCTGTTGGCAGATGAACCAACAGAGTCGGTGATGTTTTCCTGTGATCCCTTCGTTTGGATGAAAACTGCATCATTTTCTAACAATCTGTTGCTTTCTGTAAGCGATTGTTGTGTCCCTTTCTGCATGGCAACCGGGTCACCAAAGCCCCTTGGCAAGACTATATACTGTTGAAGGAGAAGGAGGAGGTGGAGGGGGGGCCGGGGGGAAGGGGGAAGAGGTAGGAAACTGCAGGCCCAAAATGGTGTCACTGAGACCGAGTTGCCAAATCCCCAATGTAAGCGCAGTTTTAACCTCTCCTGGAAATGTAATCTTAACAGGTTGGCCAGGAATTTGTCAATCCACACCAATGACTCCAGCCCCCAAAGGAAGATGAGGTCATCTGCATGATAAGACCCCAGGTTTTCCCCCTAGAAAGCAGGTCTGACCTGGAATAATCCTTTCCTTTTGCTAATAACTCTCTTGCCCCTACCTTCCATCTATAAGACCCTTCCGTTTTGTGCAACCCCTCAGAATGCCTCTCTGCTTGCTGGATGGGACGCCGCCCGATTCACGAATCATTCAACGAAGCAAATTAGAGCTTCGAACTTACTTGATTGAATTTTAACAACACACACATGACGGAGTTCCTGGTAGACTGCAGGGGCCACCATTTAACCAGAATAGGATACATCGGCAGAAGTTCTCTGCCCTTGCTTCCTGCCTGTGGGGATTTGGGCCAGCTTGTTCTCTCTAAAGCTCGCTGCCCTCGTCTGTAAAATGGGAATGATTACAGCGTCTACTCTATAAGGCTGTTGTAAAGGTTAAATGTGATCGTGTGAAATAGTTCTCGTCTAGAGGAGCTACACAAATCAATTATAGGCAGAAAGTAAGCTTTCAACAAACGCTGGCTGTTGTCATGATTAGTGAGTAGTTAGTACATACCAAAGACATTACCTTGGGTTTCGTCCCCAGATACTAATCTCTGCAGACCTCAAAAACTAGAGAAGCCAGGTGGCAGACTTGGGCAAGCATGCCAAAGGCAGTTTCCTGGTTCTTACCGACAATGACTATTTTGAGATTTCCAGGGTGAGTGTGTAGGTGCAACAGGCCCTGATACCCTTGCCCCAACTTTCATTCGATATATATCTATTAAGGGTCAAGCATGTGTCTTTTCCTTCCTGTTAAAATGCCAAAGAAGGGGCGCCTGGGTGGCGCAGTGGGTTAAGCGTCCGACTTCAGCCAGGTCACGATCTCGCGGTCCGGGAGTTCGAGCCCCGCGTCAGGCTCTGGGCTGATGGCTCGGAGCCTGGAGCCTGTTTCCGATTCTGTGTCTCCCTCTCTCTCTGCCCCTCCCCCGTTCATGCTCTGTCTCTCTCTGTCCCAAAAATAAATAAACGTTGAAAAAAAAAATTAAAAAAATAAAATAAAATAAAAATAAAATCAAATGCCAAAGAAACTCTTGGGCTGATTAGCAGGATGGAAGCTAAAAGCAACCTAGAAAAAAGTGGGTGGGAAGAAGGACTGCCCTTTATCTTGCATTTGTAGCTGGATTTACATAAGTATTCCCTCCAACCCAGAACAATACAGCCCTCCAGGCGAAAGGTAGGGACAGGCAATAACTTCATTCTGCCACCCGGCTTTGGGACTCAGAGTTACAAACCGGACACCTGGATAGATAGCAGCCTTACCACATGGTCATCATTTTCTGACATGGCCAAAGTCATTCCTGCCTCTACCCATCCCTTCCCCTATCTTTCCTTCTTTGCTTTTACTTTTTTTCAGATTTTTTTAATTTTTATTTATTTTTGAGAGAGACAGACAGAGCACGAGCACAGGAGGAACAGAGAGAAAAGGAGACACAGAATCCGAAGCAGGCTCCAGGCTCTGAGCTGTCGGCACAAGAGCCCAACGCGGGGCTCGAACTCACGAACCGTGAGATCATGACCTGAGCCGAAGTCAGCCGCTTAACCGACTGAGCCACCCAGGCACCCCTTTGCTGTAAATGAACACATTTACTTTCAGTGCCCAAGACACCCAAGGATAGAGGGTAAGGAAGGATCAGTGGAACAAACTTTGGTACCTGGAAGCCTACTACCGCTATAGCAAAAACTAGAAACACTGGCCTTGGGATTGAACCTTAGGCAACAGCCGTGCCTTGAAAGACTGTTTTAAGTCAAAGCTGCCTCAAGGATAATAATGTGACACATGGGAAGGTACCTAACGAACTCAAGTATCTGACAAGGGAGGTTTCCAAGTAGAACACAGAAAGGGCCCAAAGAGTTTTTCTGGATGCCTATGATAAAAGACAAGCACAGATGCATTAAAGAAGACACTATTCTTTAGTAGAATTTAGAGGAAATGGAAAGAACCAGAACATGCTGGTTCCTTCTAGCATCTCCGAGCAACAGTTTACAAATCTAGAGCAGTAAAATGTGGTCTCCGGATAAATATTAAGTTAAGGGTGGGGCTATTAGATCCTTTAAGACCTCACCCACTTTTAAGGGCATTTGGGGAAGAGCTTCTAAGAATCTGAGCATGCGGGGAAGAGCTTCTAAGAATCTGAGCATGCGGGGAAGAGCTTCTAAGAATCTGAGCATGCGGGGAAGAGCTTCTAAGAATCTGAGAGACACGGCCCCTTAGCACCCTCACCAGGAGCTGAAGAGAGAGAAGGACCTATTCTTAAAGAAATATGCAAGTCTGGCTTTTGTCTCCTGGATGAATTATAGTTTGAAGCAAAGGAAGTCTTCAGTGGTGTAAAGAAAGTATACTAGCTTGGGACAAAAGGCGACAGAGACAGCACAAAAGGAAAGGAGACCGTTGGATCCACCATCCTCTAAAGGCAGCAAACAGGCTGCAAACATGTAAACAGGCTGCCGTTTCTTATGGAAGACAGATGATGACTCAAGAGTGGAACCGAGAGTCCAAAAGCCCGAAGTGTAAAGGCAAGAGTCAAGGATCACTCCCAAGGGGTAGGACCAGGCCCCAGTTAAGGAACTAATGACTTATTTCCAGCCGGATTTCCGTGCTGCTCTGGATCAGTGACTGCTACGGAAAATAGCTTCCACATCCTCCCTTAGTGAATGCGATGCCTGTTACAGTGTTTACACTTCTTTCTCACCTGTGTACGTTGAGCATTTAAGCAAGAGCAGGGAGGGGTTCACAGATCTGCAGATGGAGAAGAACTTCACCCACGGAGCCTCATCTACGCCTGAACCTGCTCTAGATGAACAGATCCAGGACCTCAAGCCTGAGCCTGAGCCTGAGGCCAGAGGAGATGAAACTTTTCGAAGCTTTTCGATGTTTCCGGGTGTTTTTCATGTAGGAAGAATGTAAATAAATTTTTAGTATGGTGGATTAAATATGGCCACAAACGCTTTGATATTCCTCTTTTCAAGAGCTGGGATCTACATCTCCCTACATCTCCCTTGAATCTGAACAGAATCTATTGCTTTTTTTTTTTTTTTTAATTTTTTTTTCAACGTTTATTTATTTTTGGGACAGAGAGAGACAGAGCATGAACGGGGGAGGGGCAGAGAGAGAGGGAGACACAGAATCGGAAACAGGCTCCAGGCTCCGAGCCATCAGCCCAGAGCCTGACGCGGGGCTCGAACTCCCGGACCGCGAGATCGTGACCTGGCTGAAGTCGGACGCTTGACCGACTGCGCCACCCAGGCGCCCCTGGAATCTATTGCTTTTTAAATAGAATACGGAAGTTATTCTGTGCCCGTTTCCAGGCCTAGGACTAAAGACACTGCAAGCTTTCATTTCCTGGCCCTTGGAACACTCTCTTGGAGCCCAGAGTCACTCTGTAAGAAGTCCGGTTACATTTTGTGAGGCAGCCCGAGCTACCTGTGTAGAGAGGGTGTGTGAAGGGAGGGGGGAAGAAAAAAGAGAGAGAGAGGAAAGAAGGAATGAAGGAAGGGAGGGAGGGAGGGAGAAAGGAAGGAAGTAAAAGGAGGGAAGGAAGGAAAGAAAGGAGAAAGCGAAAGAAAAGAAAGAAAGTGAAAGGAAAGGAAGGAAGGAAGGAAGGAAGACCTGGACAGTCTCCAACTATTCTAGCCCCTGCCGCAAGAGTCCTCCTAGCTGAGGCCCAAGATACTGTAGGGCAGAGACAAGCCATCTTCACTGTTCCCTGTCTCAATTCCTGACCCACAGACTAGAAGAGGGAGTAATAAAATGGTGTTGTAAGCCACTTCATTTGGGGATGATTTGTTACATGGCAGCAGATAACCAGAATGATTTGCTGCCTCGAAAAGAGTCCAGACTGTGTTGTAAAGTGGGAAAAGCAAATTGTAAAATAACATACATGATACCATTTTTGAGAAAGAAAGCTTTGTATGTGGCATCCATATATACGCAATGTATCTGCACAGACTATGATTGTAATGCCAGCTGTCACCTGACTAAAGAATCAATATTGGAGAGACTTCCACTTTTTAGATATGAATTATATACACGCTCTACAACAAATAGTTTTAATATCGGCTGATTTTTTTAATGAGGAAAACATGTCCTGCATTTATTTTATTTCGAAGAGGTAAATATGTAGTATATACCTACAAAATGAATAACACACTCTACCCTTAAAAAAATAACCAAGGTTTAGTCTATTACAGGCTTATTAATGGAAAGAGATTATATTGACACTTATGCTGATAGTTCTTTTAATATCTAGGATAAAGACAAATTCAAATTATCAACAAAGAAAAAAGAAGTTATCAGCAAAGGGAAAAAAATCAAGATTGGCTTCAGGAGTAACACTAGATCACAGAATAAAAATGAACCCACAAACTTAGAAGGTAAAATATTATCACCCAGAGTTAATTCATCCAGTGAGGTTGTTATCATGTATGAACGTAGAAGAAAAATATTTTCCTAATGAAACAGGTGAGGGAAGAAATGGCTTTTTACTTTTTCTTTACAAAAATACTCAAAAACTTGTAAGGCTAAAAGGAAAGGAGTACCTCAAGGGATTTTGAGGTTTTGGGGCGTATCAGAGGCACAGAGAGAAAACGATCAGGTTTCAGCACTTCTGAGACAGCTAGGACAGGAGGGGCAAAAATGCATGGGAAAGAAACCCTCAGAAAAGTGAAAGCATCGGTCTGCTCTGCTTTCCCCCTAAAGAAAGGTGCCTCCTTTGAAGCTGTGTGGGGTGAGAGGTAAAGAAGAGAACCCCCAGTGACTAAGAGGGTACACCGTGAAGAAGACTCTGCAGGAGTCTCAGGGGCCTGCAGAACAAAACTTGGAGGTCACAGCCTACCAAGGAGGAAGGGGACTGATGAGCCCCCAGCGTTTCAGGTGAAGCTCTTGAAAGACTATCCACAAAGACAAGGGGCAGAGCAAAAGCCTTTGGAGAGTCAAGTCCATCTTCAGACTATCTCAATTATTGGTCAGCAAAAGGTGATCTGCGTGTGTTCTGTCTGCCAGATGAGAATTTCAATCTCTCTGAGGGGACAGGACAACACATAGAGACGGTATAATATATCATATATCATAGCTGGCATTTAACCCAAAATTGCCAAGCATAGCAGGTGACAGGCAAATTAAGGAAAACTGGTGAAAAAAACAGACAAGAAAACCAGAGGAGATCCAGATATTGGAGATGTAGAAATAATAAACAACCAAATTGGGGTAAATTTTCAAGAAAATAAATGGTACGACAAAGAATTCACCAGGGAAGAACTAGAATGTATTTTAAAAACAGAATTAAATAATAATAATGATAATCATTAAATAACAAATCTAATAGCTCACTAGATGTGCTTAAAGCAGATTCAACAAAACGAAAGAGATTGCTGAACTGTTCATTAGTTTGGTGGAAAATATACTACCAAAGAGAAGAAAGAATCAAAAATAGAAAAAAAGAGCTTAAGAGACATAGAATATGGTGAATAGACAAACATATAATTGAGGTTTGGAGAGAAAGAATGGGGTAGATGCAGTATTGGCTGAGAATTTTGCAAAACTGAGAAAGATATTGAGCCACAGATCCAGGAAATCTTCGAAACTCTAAGCAGGATATGTTCAAAGAAAGCCACACAGAGATAGTCATCATGAGACTTTCAAAAACCAAAGACAAAATCTTGACAGAAGCCAGTCTCCCTCAGTCTGACTACTTCACTTAGCATAATACCCTTCGGGTCCATCCATGTTGTCACAAATGACAGAGCCCCATCCTTATGACTGCATAACATTCCTCTGTGTGTGTGTGTGTGTGTGTGTGTGTGTGTGTGTGACATCTTCCTTATACATTCATCTAACGATGGACCCTTAGGTTGCTTCCATATCTCAGCTACTGTAAATAGGTCCACAATAAACATAGGGATGCAAATATCTTTTTGAAGTAATGTTTCATTTTCTTTGGATAAATATCCAGCAGTGGAGTTATTGGATCCTATGGCATTTCTATTTTTAATTTTTTTGAAGCATGTCCATATGTTTTCCACAGTAGCTTCACCTAAGAAATAAGTTGGACTGGGAAAGACAAACACCATATGACTTCACTCATATGTGGAATCTAAAAATAATGATAAATAAACAAAAAGCAGAATCAGACCTGTAAGTACAGAGAACAAACTGATGGTTGCTAGAGAGGGGAGGGAAACGGGGATGGGAAAGACGGATGAAGAGGAGTGGGATATACAGCTTCTGGTTATGGAATGAATAAGTCATGGGAATATAAGACATAACATAATATAACATATAATATATAATATATAACATAGTCAATGATACTGTAATAGTGTTATACGGTGACAGATGGTAGCTACACTTATGGGCATAGCATTGTGTATAGACTCGTTGAAGCACTATATTATACACCTGAAATTAATGTACTATTGTGTGTCAGCTGCACTCTAAGTCATAGGATAAAAAGTACAGCAAAGGGAATATAGACAATAATATTGTAATAATACTGCATGGTGAGATTGTAACTACATTTATGGTGAGCATCGTGTAATATATAAAATTGTGGAACCACTATGTTATACACCTGAAACTAATATGACATTGTATGTCAACTATACTTCAATTATAACATTCTTTAAAAAAAAAAGAAAGAAAAGCTAGTTCCTTTTTCCTTTACACACACGTGCACAACTTTCAAAAGAACAGCCAATGACATCTCAACAGAAATGATAAAAAGTGTAACTTACAACCGTTGATATAATCTTTGGCATGTTAAAGAATAGAACTGTACACCTAAAATTCTGAATGCGGTGAAAATACTCATTAAAGAGAAACCTGAGGAAGTTTTGCTTCTGAGCTAGTACCAGTCTTGCCCCCGACTGTTCATTAGAACGCTAGACAAAATATATGAATTCACTGTTTTCAATAATTGGACGACGGCCAGTACAGGCCTCTGATCCATTTGAGAAGAGAAACAAATGAGATGAGCCCTACAATCGTCCAGCTTTCTGCCTGGAGGCATTTTTCTGTACCATTGTAAAGGAAAAAGAAACCAAAATGGAGCACAGTGGTCTCGTTGACTTGAGTAGATAGAGATCAGAGTTCATGGAGGCTTAGGCAGCTGGAATTTGTCAAGCAGAGAACTGAAGAGAGAGAGCTATGCACATAAGAGAGCTGAGAAAATCTTTCTAGGGATTATTTTGAGTTCCTGGTTAATAACTAAGGTCTGCACGTATAGGAAAAATTCCATGTGGTCAGGCAAAGGTGGAGAGCCACAAGTTGAACAATTTCTAGAGGTAATACAGAACTGGGAGGCATTCAAGTTCTGATGGACCCGAGTGGGGGAAACACCCGGGATTACAGTAGAGACTCTAGGTAGATTGCCCCTTAGTAGTTGGAATAAACTAGTATTAGGGTAGAGGCTATTTTATTGCCCTCACAAAGCTTTAAAAACCATCAAAAGGGTCAAGCTAATTTTCCAGTAACTTAACCGCCTAACAAACAAATTTCAAAACTCCCAAGAACAACTGCAAAATTCAGAGATTCTACAATGTAACATTCACAGTGTCCATAGAAACAGAAGCAAAAATACTGGGAATGATGGAATTAGCAGACAAGGGCTTTCCTATAGCTATCATAAATGTGCTCAAGGATTTAAAGAAAAATATAAACACAATGAAGAAAAGAATAGAAACTATTTTTAAGAAGCTAATGAAATTCTAGAGCTGAAAAATATAATATTTAATAATAAAAGGTTACTGAGAGACTTAATATAAGATTAGATACCATAGAAAAAAAGAAAATGAACTTGAAAACACAGTAGTAGAAACCAAAGCACAAGAAGAAAAATGACTGACTTGTAGGACAATATAAAGCAATCTAACACCTGTTCGATTTTAATACATGAGGTGTGTGTGTATGGAGAGTAAATAAGGCAAAATGATTTGAATAAATAATGGCTGAAATTTTCCAAATTTGATAAAAGCTATACATACACAGATCCAAGTGGCTTATGCACACCTCAAGCAGGATAAAATGGAAAACCACACCATGGTACATTATAGCCAACTTGCTGAAATCCACGATCAGAGAAAATCTTAAAGCATCCAGAGGAAAAAGATACATTGTGTCAAGAGAACAGAGAGAAGAATCAACTAACTCCTTTTCAGAAATAATGCAAGCCAGAGGACAATGGAACAGCACCCTGACTATAAAAGACAACAAAAATATTCTTCTAATGTGAAAGTGAAATTGAAACTTTTTAAAATATTCTTTTCTTTTAATTCTTTTATTTATTTTTGAGAGGGGGGGAGGGGCAGAGAGAGAGGGGCACAGAGGATCCCAAGCGGACTCTATGCTGACAGCAGAGAGCCCGACCTGGGCCTGGAACTCACAAAGCGTGAGATCATGACCTGAGCCGAAGTCAGACACTTAACCGGCAGAGCCACGCAGGTGCCCCGAAATTAAGTTTTTTAGATAAACAAAAAGCAAGAGAATTTATACTTTCCAGGCTAAAGTAAAATGATAACAGATCGAAACTTAGGAATGAATAAAGCTAGAAATGGATAAATATGTGAGTAAATGCAAGCAATTTTTTTTCTCATTTTTAAGTTTCTTTAAAAGATAGCTGCTTGTTCAAAGACAAATTAATACGAATGTATTATGGAACTTATATGTATAAAGTAAAACGTATACGACAAAAAAAGCACAAGAATACGGGAGGGAGGAAATAAAAGTGTATTGTTATAAAGTACTTAAATTATTCATCAAATAATGTAATATGATTTGGTATTATACTGCTGTATGTTAAAGGTGCATACTGTAAATCCTAGAACAAAAAGAGATGGGGCAAATAATCTCAAATGTAAGAGATAAAAGGGCATATTTGAAAAAAATTAATAGCAAAGAAGGCATGAAAAGAGGAAAAAGTGAACAAGGAACAAAACAGAAAAGAAACAGCAAGATGTCAGATTTAAACCTAAACCTATTGTGAATTACATGTAAAGAGTCTAATGCTACAATTAAAAGGCAGAGACCATCAGGCTAGATAAAATACAATAAGACCCAATCATACACTATTTACAAAAAAATGCTTTTTAAATATACAAATACATACACAAATGGGTTAAAAGTTTAAGGATGGAAAAATATCAGGAAAATATTAATCATGAGAAAACTGGAACACCTATATTAATGTCAGACAAGAAGTATGGCCCAAAATAAATAGGGTTAATTCATAATCATAAAGGATCAATTCGTTAAGAAAAGACAACAATCCAAGTGTAACTATAACAAAGTTTTAAAACACACGATGTACACCATATAAAGAAAACAACAAGTGGGAAATTTTAACACACCTCCCTCAGTAATGAATCAAACATGTAAAGATATAGAAGATTTGTCAAACACTAGCAAATAACTCAACCGAATTAAATTTATAGAGCACTGCATTGACCGCTAAGGATACAGTCTTCTCAAGCACACATAGACTGTTCATAAAAGACAGACTGTATGTTGAGCCACAGAACAATTCTCAATAAATTTAAAAGTATTGAGATCATACAGAAAACACTCTCTGACTGCAATGGAAATAAATTGGAAATCAATAACAATAACACACTTGGAAAAGTCTCCAAGTTTATGAGTAAAATACAGTATTGCATAATGCAGGAGTCAAAGAATAAATCACAAAGGAGGTTTAAAAATATTGCGAACCGAATGTAATGAAAACACAATGTGTTAAAATTTGTGGGATACAGCGAGAACAGTGCTTAGAGGGAAAATTTTAGCTTAAAGGGCTTATTTTAGAAAAAGATGAAAGGTTTCAAACTAATTTTCTAAGGTTCCACCTTAAGCTGGAAAAAGAACATCGAAATAAATCCAAATAAAATAGGACAAAGGAAATAACAAAGAACAGAAATCAGTGAAATGAAAAATGGACAAACAATAGAGAAAAATCAGTGAAAATGCCAATAAAATTGATAAATTTCTAAGCCAATTTAAAAGTATGGAGAAAGCATAAATTAGCAGATTAGACAAGATGAAAAGGGCTGTACTAAAGATCCGAAAGACACTGAAAATAACAAAAGAATATTATAAACAACTTTATTCCTAAAACGTTGACAACTAAAATAGAAGAATTCTTTGGAAAACACAAATTAATAAAACAGAGCCAAGAAGAGATAGAAAATCCAAACAATCCTGTATCTTTTAAAGAAATTTAATTCATAATTAACAACCTAATTCCAAAAACAAAACCAAATTCATTTATGCCCAGAAGACTACTCTGATGAACCCTAACAAATATTTAATGAAGAACAAATATCAATCTTATAAAAACCTCTCATAAAATAAACCTCTCATAAAAATAAAATGTATCTCAAGTCATTTTATGAGGTCAGTGTTCCCCTATTGACAAAATCAGATAAAGATCTTACAAGAAAATAAAATGATTGTAAATGTCAAGGACTTAACAGTGTATTACCAAACTAAACCCAGGAATGTAGAAAAAGAATAATACATCTTGACAAAATGGAGTTTTTCTCAGGCATACAAAGTTGGTTTAAATTTTTAAAAATTAATTAGTATAATTTATCATATTCAGAGAAGAAAAAAATCATGATCATCCTAATGCATGCATAGAAAGTACTTGACAAAATCCAATACCCATTCATGTTGAAAACTTTCATAAAAGTAAGAATAGAGGGAAACTTCCTCAACTTGATACAGGGCATCTCTAAAAAAAACTGTATCCTCCCAATGGTCAAAGATTGAATGCTGTCCCTGTAAAACCAGGAACAAGGCATCTTTGAACATTTGTTGGAGGCCTAGCCAGTGAAATAAGTTAATTAAAAGAAATAAAATGCACACGGATCGATAAGGGCAAAACATTTTATTCAAAGTCAACATGATCACATATGTAAAAAATCTTAAGGAATCTGTAAGAAAAGCTGTTAGAACTAATAAGTGACTTTAGAAAGTCAAAATCAAAAAATCACAAAGAAGCAACTGGAAAATGAAATTTGAAAAATAGTACCATTCACAATAGCGTCAAGAACATGAAAATGTCAGGTATAAGTTTAACAAAATAAATGGAAGATCTATATACTGAAAACGACAAAACACTGCTGAGAGGAATTCAAGATTAAAAATAAATGGAACTCTATAACATGTACTTGAATTGGAGTTCTGATGTATTTAAGATGTTAATGCTCCTGAAATTGATCTATGAGTTTAACATAATCCAAATGAAAGTGCTAGACATAATTTTCTGCAGAATTTGACAAGCTGGTTCTAAAATTTGTATAAAAATGCAAAGGGCAGATGATAGCCAAAAAAACAATTTCTAAAAAGAAGAAAGTGGGAAAGGACTACCTGATTTCAAGATTTAGTATCAAGTTAATCAAGAGAGTGTGGTTTTGGCAAAAGAACAGACCTACAGATCCAAGGAACATAATAGATCAGGAGTAGATCTATACATATGTGATCACTTGATTTTTGACCAAAGTGCCAAGTTAATTCAATAGCAGAAAGGACAGTCTGATCATGCTGGACAATTGGTTTTTCATGTGCAAATGAATGATCTTTGATACTTACTTTATTCCATAAACAAAAATTCACTCAAAATAGATCAGAGACCTAAACGTAAAAGCTAGGGGCACCTAGGTGGCTCCGTCAGCTGTGTCTGACTCTTGATTTGGGTTCAGGTCATTATCTCACCATTTACAGGATCAAACTCCAAGTCAGGCTAGAGCTAACGGTGCAGCGTCCACTTGGGATTCTCTCTCTCCCTCTTTCTCTGCTCCCAGCCCCACTTTCACGTGTGCACTCTCTATCTCTCAAAATAAGTAAACTTTATTGAAAAAAATAAATGTGGAGTGCCCGGGTGGCTCGATTGGTTAAGCATCCAACTTCAGCTCGGGTCCTGATCTCATAGTTTGGGAGTTCAAGCCCCACATGGAGCTTTGCACTGACAATGCAGAGACTGCTTGGGATTCTCTCTCTCTTACTCTCTCTCTGGCCCTCCCTCACTCACTCTCTCTCTCCAAATAAATACATAAACGTAAAAAAATAAATCAATGTAAAAGCTAAAGCCACAAAACTTTTATAAGAAAACATAGGAAAAAAAATCTTTGCAACCTTGAGTAAGTAGAAATTTCTTAAATAAGGCACAAAGAGCACAAATAATAAAAGAAAAATATTAATAATTTACCTCATCAAAATTAAAATCTTTTACTCTTCAGAAGACACCTTTGAAAAAACTGAAAAGACAAGTCGCAGAGAAAATTATATACATATATACCTATACATAGGTATATATAGGTATATATGTATATGGCATATATGTATATAATTACGTATATATAATACACACATGTATATATATATATATATATACTACTTATAAAATACACACATATATATACTACTTATATATAAAACATATATAATGCCATACATATCTGGAAAAGAACTTATATCAAGAATATGTCAAGAAATCTTGCAACTCAATAAAATGAAAATATACAACTTAATTTTTTTAATGGGCAAATGATTAGAATAACAAGATATACAAATGGCCAATAGCACATGAAAAAGTACTCAACATCAGAAGTTATCAGGGAACAGGGTGTGTGGGTGGCTCAGTGGGTTGAGCATCTGACTTCGGCCCAGGTCACGATCCCACACTTTGTGGGTTTGAGCCCCGCGTCAGGCTCTGTGCTGACAGCTCGGAGCCTGGAGCCTGCTCCGGATTCTGTGTCTCCCTCTTTCTCTGCCCCTCCCGTGCTCACACTCTGTCTCTCTGTCTCCCAAAAATAAATAACCATTTTAAAAAATTTAAAAAAAGAAGTTATCAGGAAATTCAAATTAAAACAACAATGAAATGCTACCCATACAACCAGTAGAATGGCTAAAATTTAAACACCTGACAATACTAAGTGTTGACAACAATGTACAGTAACTAGAACTCTCCTATAATGCTCTTGGGCATGTAAACAGTTCAACAATTTTGAAAAACTGTTTAGCAGTTTTTTTATAAAGTGAAACACACAACTACCCTATGATTTAGCAATATCAGTTCTAGGTATTTTTCTTAGAGAAATAAAGTCCACAATATGACTTTCACACGAATGTTCATAGCATCTTTCTTCACAACAGTTAAAAACCAGAAACAATCCAAATGTTTCTCAATAGGTGACTGGATGAACAAATTCTGAAGTATACTCAGCAATTACAGGAATCAACTAGATCCCCACAACAGCATTAGTTGAATCTCAGAAACATCATTCTGGATGAAAGAAGCCATACACAAAAGAGTATGTACAATATTACTTCATTCTTATGAAAGTCTAGCGGGTAAAATAAATCTATGGTGACAGAAATAAATTAACGGATGCCTAGGAAACAGATTGACTGCAAAGGGGCCAAAAGGAATGTTTTGGATTGATGAAAATGCTTATTATCTCTTGACTATGATGATGGTTACAAATTTGTGTACATTGGTCAAGACTTGTCCAACTATACACTTAAGGTGAGTGTGTTTTATTGTATTAAATTGTTCTCAATGAGATTGCTTTTAAAAGAAAAAACAAATAAAAAAGTAAAGCCCAACAAATGCGATTGAAAAAAAACTTTTTTAAGATGAAATTTGTACCTTTTAAGACACACAGGTAGAGAATTTGTCATCAACCCCCATCCTAAAAGAAGTATTAGAGTGAGCTGTTCACACAGATGGAAATATGATTCCTGATGGAAGAATGGAGACAGAAAGATAAAGAACACTGGAAATGGTCAATATGTGGGAAATCTAAATAACAATTATTATGTTTGAATCTAATAATAATAATCTTAATAATGATCCGTCGGTTGTTAAATTCATGAAGAAATAAAATACGTGACAATTGCACAAAAGGTGGAAGTTGGGTAAATGGAGTCAAAGAGTGTTCTTGGCTCTTTGCATTGTAACAGTGATAAATGTACTAATTTAGGATATGTACCAGGGGGTCCATGTTGTAAGCTCTAGGTCAATCACTAACAAAATAATGACAGCATATAATTCGTAAGCGGGAAATGGAAGAATAAGAACACAATGCATTCCATCAAAAGGAAGGAAGGAGTTAAAGGAGAACGTAGAACAGATGAGATGACTAGAAAGCAAATAGTAAGATTATAGATTGAAATCCAAAATAATCAGTCGTCACCATCCATATCACCAGGCAAAATGTATTCTAACATCAAGACAAAGATTGTTAAACACTAATATGGAAATGTCCAAGGAGATTCTGTTTACAATAAATACACAATAACTATGAGGACATAGGAGTTTTTAACATGAAAGGATGGCATATGCAAAAAGTCACTGAAAAAAACAACTGGTATGGGTATACTAATACCAAACAAAATGAATTTTAAGGTAAAGAGGTTTTACTAAAGATGAAGAATGACATTTCATAATGACAAAAGTGTCAATTTCCCAGGAAGATAAAACATTTCCAAAACTGGGTAAACCTAATAACATATGCTCAAAATACAGAAAGCAAAACTGATAGAATTGCCCAATCTGACTGATACAGTAAATAATCAAAGATCTAAAAATAGGACATAAATCAAAAGAAGAGAATCAAAAATATATTATCTGATGGCAAACAGACACATGAAGAGATGCTCAACATCGCTAATCATCAGGGAAATACAGGAATGAGATTTAAGAATTTTATTTTTTAAGATTTTTTAAAGTTGGGGAGCCTGGGTGGCTCAGTCGGTTAAGCATCCGACTTTGGCTCAGGTCATGATCTCACCGTTCGTGGGTTCGAGCTCCGCGACGGGCTCTGTACTGACAGCTCAGAGCCTGAAGCCTGCTTCAGATTCTTTCTCTCTCTCTCTCTCTCTCTCTCTGCCCTTCCCCCACTCACGATCTGTCTCTTTCTCTCTCCCTCTCAAAAATAAAGATTTATTTAAAAATAATAAAAAATAATAAAGTAATCTCTACTGCCAGTGTGGACCTTGGACTCACAGCCCTGAGATCAAGAGTTGCACGCTTCATCCACTGAGCCAGCCAGGTGCCCCAAGATTTGCATCTTTTGAAATGCACCAAGGAGACTCATGCCAAACCAACTGAATCCAAATTTACAAAAGTGAGGCCCACAGGACTGTCATTAAAAAATATTTCCATAATGATGGGGGTGCCTCGGTGACTCAGTCAGTTGAGCATCCAGCTCTTGATTTGGGCTCAGGTCATGATCTCATGGTTCCTGAGTTCAAGTCCCAAATGGGGCTCTGCACTGACAGAATGGAGCCTGCTGGGATTCTTTCTCTCCCTCTCTCTGCCCCTCCCCTGTTCTCTCCCTCTCTCTCAAAATAAAAATAAACATTAAAAAAATATTTCCATAATGAGATAACATTTTTAGCTCAACCAGTAGGTAAAAATTAAACATAATCGTGACACCCAGTATCGGCAGAAGTGTAGAGAAATAAACATGTTCATAGGAATACCGAGGGGAGAGGCAGTGGTCGGAAAACTCCTTTTCTTGGATTTCATGTTCCCACGTGGAGTCATATCAATTTGAGTGTAATTAACCCTCTGCTTCCTCACCCACTTCTCTGGTTGGTAAATTTGGAGGAATGAAAAGGACTGGCAGCTCCGCCTGCCCTCCTGTCTCGCACTGCTTGGCCTTGAGCTCGCGTGTGTCCATCACCTCCTGTAACTGGCCAGGTGGTGAATGATCTAATTCTGGGCGCAGTATCATGACGTTGACATTCTGATCCTCGTCTGCGTGACCTCAGTCTTTTAAAACATTTGAACCAAAGAAAAGCGCACTGTATTGATTTCTCTCAATCTGTCATCAGTCGCAGAGTCAATAAATGTAAAAATGATAGTTAACTGCTACCCACTCGACAAACCTGCCACCTTCGGGGCACGCGCCTTGTAGCCTCTCTTCCTTCTTCCCCCCCCTGAAAGGCCCAGTGTCTCTTCCTGCCCCTGGCCGGTCCCTCTGCTGAGCTTAGGACTGCTTTCCTCCCTATGTCCCAGCAACCCTGCCCTAGGCCTGATGACTTCTATTTGTAGCTTTTAGTTCGATAATTGGCATAACCCTCTCTTTTGAAAGCCAGATCGCTTTGGAATCATTTTTGGCTTCCTCGACCCCATTCCCAGTCCATCTCTAATTCCCCGCACACGGTTCAAAATTCGAAAGTGAAAAAGCACAGTATGCAGTAAAACATCTCTCCCACCTTTTCTGGCTCTTCTGCTTTTCCTGTATCCAGCAAGCACTCTTAGTACCTGTGTGTCTTTCCCAGAGATACAGTACAGATGTTTGCTATTTCTCCATATAAATGGTGCCACACGGTATGTATTGTCTTCCAAGAGGCATGCCACCTGATAAGCGGAGAAGGAATAATGGAAATTGAGACGTCGCCATGATGAAACCAATTAAGGAAGGACTGATAGAAGCAAGAAATCAATCTACCCGTTTATGCAAGGCTTGGGTTTAACACAAACAGACAACTCTAGAGGACATTACGGCAATTATGGCCATACTCAAGGAAATCTTGGAGGGGGGGACGTCTGTATGTACTTTAGTATATCAATGTTAAGTTTCCTAGGTTAGTGATCGTTGTACTGTGGTCATGTAGAAGAATGTAATTGTCCTTAGGAAATATGTGCTAAATATTTAGGCGCGAAGTCTGTCATAATGTCTTCAATTTATTCTCCCCTAATTTTCAAATGGGTCAGGGGCAGGGTGGGTGGGGGAAGAGGGTATATGGGTGGGTTTTGTGTTTTGCAATTTTTTCTAGGTTTGAAATTTTTTAAATAAAAAATTGAGAAAGAGTAAAAACATCGCATGTTTCTATAAGCATAGAAAAAAATGGGTTTAATAAAAAGCCAAACTGGCATCTCTGAGAGATGAGAATGAGACGGCATTAGATAGAGGAGTAAATACTGTCACATTCCTCAGCCAATTTAGTTCTGGTTTGTTGGCATTTGCTATTAAGAATGCATTATTTTTATCTTTTGTATTTTTTTAAAAAGCTCACTTTTTGTAACTTTAAAAAGTCTCCATAGGTTATTCATGTATAAATCAGAATTACATCTTTCCAAATATCCGCACTGCCCCCCCCCCCCCCCCCCCCCCAGAATCCCTCGATTTCCTGGATTGAACAACCAAGGCTCAGCAGGAAGCTTCCAGAGCCCTGATAACTAGGGCTGGATGCTAAGTCTTTTGGATATCACTCCCCATAAAATCCACTAATACGTAGAATGGATGTTGAATTAAAATGATTTCACCCACATCCAGAGGTTAAATTGGACACGTAGATGTTTTTTAAAAGTTTACCATGATGTCAGGCACTGGAACGAATGACATCACACTTACACGAAGGGTAGTTTACCAAAAGCTGACCAGGTTACCGCATATCAGACTCAGGAAGAATGGAGAGACAAGGAGGATGAGGAGAAAGACATGGAGAAGCTGAGAGAAAGTAACGTTTCCTTATCTTCCAGAGGAAAGATTCAAATGGAAACTGTTCAAGTGCCTTAACTGAAAAATATTTTTTTAAATTTTTTTTCAATGTTTATTTATTTTTGGGACAGAGAGAGACACAGCATGAAAGGGGGAGGGGCAGAGAGAGAGGGAGACACAGAATCGGAAACAGGCTCCAGGCTCCGAGCCGTCAGCCCAGAGCCTGACGCGGGGCTCGAACTCCCGGACCGCGAGATCGTGACCTGGCTGAAGTCGGACGCTTAACCGACTGTGCCACCCAGGCACCCCTGAAAAATATTTTTAAGAAGGTAAAGTAAATTAGTGGAACTAAATACCCACAGAATATACATTCTAAATCACCAAAGAGAAAAAAGATTTTTAAGTTGCATGACGCATTATTTTTCTAAAGATAAATGCATGTAAAACTCACCTTTTAAAAGAAGTGCCAGGCTATGTTTATGTTTAATAGACACAAAAAGTTGAAAGTAAAAGAATTCGTAGCAGGCATTCATTGGTGGGAATGTACATGAGTTAAATGTTTTTAAAGGGCTCTTTGTAATACACGGTAAAAATTAAAGCATGTGTGCCTCTTCACCCAGAGGTTTCTTTTATAAGAACTTATCTTACATGTGTATTTGAACAAGCACACAAAGATTTTCATGGAAACATTGTGGTAATTTCCAAAAGAAGGAAAAAGGACCTAGGAGTGACGCTAATTCCCACCAAAGGGTTTTTTGGTTGGGTGTGTGTTTGTTTTAGAAAGTAAGCAATGGTGTATTGACTGCAACAATTTAAAATAATGAGGTCAAGGTTGGTTTAGATGTAATGATATGGAGATAGGCCCGAAATAACTGAAAATAGCAAATTGTAAAACAGCATATGTTAAATGTAGTTCCATTTGCATAAAAGCAATTTTATTTACGTGCTGATATGTGCACAGAAACTCTAGAAGAACATTCACTCAATATCAGCAGTGACTATTTCTGGGTTGGGGGATTATGAGTAACTTTTGTTTTCTATATAAACATTTTTTGCACTGTTAAATTTTTAGGTATGTGTTCTATAATAAGGAATTTGTCTGGTCTTTGCCCCTGGTTTTCAGCACAGATCTTCTAAAACTCTTGGGATCTCCCAAGTGATAGACACGTCGGCTATTCATGAGCCCCTGGAACACACCCAAGGCTATGCTAATGAGGAGACTGATGGTAGGCCCTGAGAGAGCTTCAGGATGGGGCTGGTCACCAGAAAGACCAACTTTGTGATTAGAGGGTTGAAACTTTGACCTCCAAGCAGAGAAGAAAGCTGGAGATTGGGTTCAGTCATGTCACCAGTGGTTTAATCAACTGTACCTATGGCAAGAAAGGCCAGTAAAAACTCTGGGCAGTGAGGCCTGCTGGACCTCCTGGTTGGTAGAGGACGTGCCCTAGGATGTCCCTAGGACGGCGATGTGCCCTAGGATGGCGATGTGCCCTGATTTCTCAGGGAGGTGGCACAGAAGCTCTGCCATCAGGACCCTCCCAGACTTCACCCTGCCTGGCTCGTCATCTGGCTGTTCCTGATTTGTACCATTTAGAATCACAAGTAGAGCACTTTCCTGACTTCTCTGAATCATTCTAGTTAATTACTGAATCTAAGAGAATATTGGGTACCAAATTTATAGTTGGTTGGTCAGAAGTGTGTGTGACCTGAAAACCCCATAAGCTTGAGGCTGGTGTCCAAAGCAGGG